AGGAAAAAATGGGGTCTGGGGGGGTTATCAGCAGCACAAGACAAAACAAAAAATTTTAATTGCAAAGACACAATTTAAAGTCATACTGAACTTTGGAGTACACAAAAGAGAACAATTACAACACTAAAACTTAAAACACTGAACTTTTTACTGCAACACCACAGTCAAACAAATTAAAATCAAAATTTTAACTGATAAATTATTGAATAGAACATTGTAAAAATAAGACTAAACTATTTCTCTTGGGGGGAGGTGGGCCAACCTCACCCATCCAGTTAAGATCGTCCCCTGGCCTTCCAACCCTAAACGAGTGCTGCCTCACCCCATGGTCCACGTAGATCTCCTCTCCCAGCTTGATGTCTCTTGTTGTTTTTATTAGGAGAAATGGGTCTGCCAGGCCTGGGAACTTCACTAACAGACATTTGGTGTTGATGATGTTGGCAGAACGGTTTATTGGTCAGCCAAAGATGGCGAGCTGCGGATGACTGTCACACAGGTGGACTTGAGAGTTTATGCAGAAGTCCTTGGTCCCCAGACTTGAAAAAGTAAATCTATGCATCTTGTCCCGCCTTCAGGGACCCCTCAAGCCGCCAGCCTCGGCAGCAATAGTGAATATTCCATGGTAGTCACATGCGATGGACCCTTTGATGAAAGTCCTGGTTGCAAAGAGTCATGTGGAAGAAAAAAAAAGTTATTAATTTATTATTTTAATTACAGAAGTGTCAGTTTCCAAAACAAGATCAAGGAACCCACCTCTTCTGCTGACAGTGTTCTTGCTCTCCGAAATGACAAGTCCCATTCACCTCTGGTCCTGGATGTGGCACATAAAGTCCTGGCTGGCTTTTGGGGTGCGGTGGATAGCGCTGTGCAGATCTCCAGGACCTCCTCTGCAGTGTTAGAGTTCCCAGTTCAGTTGGACTTTGCAATGAAGCTCTCCACCTTCTACCGGCTCCGTTTAGCCAGGAGACAGAAACTACCCATGCATGCGGTTAGACCTGAATATAACATGCCCTGCATCAGAACCCGGTAAGGTAGGGTCAGTAAGAGGAGGAAAAGAAAAAAAAAACTCAATCAGGTGGTACTGCCTTGTCTTAAACTGAATCATCTGCAACTTGTCAAAGAGGCTCCTTGTCAGGGGGGAATGCTGCCTCCACTTTCTTTTTAGGAGGTGGCGCATCATTCAGGGTTACCTAGAAGACTTGAGAAAAGTGCCCAGGTCTGTGTATCCCTCACAGCTTCGCCTCCACCTTTTGGGCATCAGAGCATTGTCTGTGGAGCTAAAGGAGATAAATACATTAAACACATCACCGAACACAAACATGGCTACCCCAAGATCAAATGCACAAACTCTGCTCAGCTTTAGGTCTCCGCTCTGAGCTTCCACAGGATGCAGGACTGTTGCTTGTTTCCTACTCTGAAGATTGGAATTTTGATTGTAGAGTCCTTTTTTCATCATATTCTTTAATTTCCTTTTTAATTTCTTAATTTTCTAACATGAAGCTTGTTTCAGCCTTTACTCTCACTTGTGAGCCCTGCCAAGCGCTGGAACGGTTCAATGAGATTAGAACTACAAACATGTCCACGAGTTTTGCCCAGAATGCATAAAGTGTTCAACATGTATCCTCAATATATAGTGTTTATGTCTTGGTTTTTGGCTTGTACTTGAATACCGCATGGATCAACAAAGGAAGAGGAAGTTTTCTCGTGTGCAGGGCCGTGCAGAGACCACTAAAGGGGCAGGTGCTCAAAAAAAGGGCACATCTAACCGCATTCTAGGACAGAATATTAACAAAGCCACACAGCTTTCAGAGTTTAATAAACAATGATAAATTACAAAATTGTGAGATATACAATCAAAGCTAAGGAAAATCTAAAGCATACAACTATGCATATATGAGATATTTAATTAGTAATTTCTTTCTGCAGGTCTATTTTGTTAAAGTAAAATATTCAAAACTGCAATTTAGCAAAATATGTAAATCAGAGCTAGACCACCAGACATATTTTGTCTTTACAGAATTACACTATTAAAAATATAAACAAGGACACAATGCAACCTTTTAGTGGACTGTAATCTATAAAAAGAGCTGCCTGTTTGCTACACTTGCAGTGGAGATGAAGGTGGTCCATTCAGGAAAGCAGAGCTGCATCAAACTTTAACGTGGAACTGCAGAAAAAATTTAAAAAATCAATTAAAATAAATAAAAATAAAAGCAAAAATTGAATTGTTAATGTCATCGTGACAAAAGCCTACTGAGTTTTGCTTAAAAAAATTTTTTCTCACATGACATCGTGGGCAGGGCCCAAAATCGCAACAAAAGATTTCTAATGAGTGCAAATAAAATTTTGTTTGGCAAATAACTTTCTAAGTTCACAAGACAAAATGAGTTATTTAATTTAGAAAATTATTCATTGAATAATTGGGGGAAAATAACTTCATACTCTGTGAACAAAAAAAAACTAAATAATAATAATAATAATAATAATAATAATAATAATAATAATTTTAGTACATGTTATCATGTATCAGAAGAGGGCTTAGAAAATAATAATAATAATACCAAATAAATAAATAAATAAATTGACCAAAATGGCACTTCAGGGCAAGGAGCAAGAGGGACAGGTGCTGAAGCATCCCCAGCCCCCCCTGCACGTGCCTGCCCGTGTGGGATCATTTTGATCTTTTCACGGAGAATAAGGTAAATAATTATTCCGTTCTCATTTCCACTTTTTATCATTTTCCTTTCGGCTTATTCCAATTACTTTCTATAGGATATTTGAATTAGTTTACAGGGATTAAATTTCACTTACTTTGTAGGTGAAATGTAGGACTTGCTCCCAGGTGTTGTATTGCTGTAACTGGAGCACTTCCACAATACTGAGGCATCATCACGCCTTGCATGGCGGGGACCTTTGCTGTCTGCAACACAGCACTGTTAATAAATAGACAAATTTAGATTATTTGATTATTTTCTTACTGAAGTAACTGAAGACCAGCTGTGGTTGAGCAAGAAAATAGAAACAAATTGATAAAAGTGAAGATTGCTTGATGCCGTAGTCCAAAGTGAAACTTATGTGGAGCTATAAAGACTAGGGAGCCTGGCGCAGCACGCTGATTGGCCCATTTGAATTCAGGCGCCTTAATGTGAAATGATGCTCCAGTCTTCAGGGTGGAAACCATTTTAAATGAGATACTGTTGAAATAATTCAGTTTTATTGTGCATAAAAATACAGACAAAATATTATTAAAGTATGAATAAATAAAAAGACATCAGATTATTATTTTAATGCTTTTGGGATCATAAGATATATTTTAATCAATAATATAGGCAGCTAGTTGTAGGCCTAACAAATTGTTGACTTTGAACTTATGAGCTAAACAGAATGTATATTTAAAAGCTACACACTGTGTTCTTTGCAAACAAAATACATCCAAAAGAGAATAAAAATATTTTTTATAGTGTATGGGCTGTTGTGGATGACAGACATCAGAACCAACAGCATAGATGAGCTGGGCTTCCTGAACACCTCAGCAGAACCTGAGCCTCCATACCATGCTGCATTGATGCAGTAATTCAAATTCAAAAATACTTTATTGATCAGAAAGGGAAATTTAAATAACAGTGCTACTCCAACGGGCTGCCACCCTGAGTGGCGCAATTATGGAATAATAATAATCCATGCAAAAGAAGTCAAAACATACTGTGCTAATTCATCACTTAACACAGCTGTACATGGTGCCATCCATTAATTGTGTTCTGCTTCTCCAACACAAAACAATGCCAGCAACAAGATCATTTAGATTTCCCTTCACTCTGAGACACCATCCACCATTGCACATCTTTGACTCTCCACCCCTTCATAAAATATTCAGAGTGTGGCATTCATCCAGCTGCTGCCCCCACCTCCCCTTCCCACACATGTCTGGCAGGCAGCCAGGGCATGTGGCCTTTTGAGGGCAACAAAGGGCAGGGAAAGTAAGAAATCTATTCATCTTTAAAATTCAGAACAGGGGAATAGATGTTCATAATAAATAAGTTGATCATCAAACAGGACTGGGTTTTCTCATGAAGTCTGTCATTAGCTATGAATTCACATGCTCACTTCTGATCATGTGACCGTTGAGGGACGATGCAAAACTCCCAAATCAGGAGATGGGACATGTGGTATAGAGCCACTTTACCATGAAACAACAGCAAACTCTAGTTGTTTATTTTAGAGGGAAACCCATGCTGAAGGGAAAAGCCCTTCAGCATGGGTGTTATGACCCATATAGGGGTCACCGAGGTACTGCAAGGAGGTCATGATATTTCCGATTAGTTTTTTGTGTGTATATTTTTGTATATTTCACTAAAATATAAAACAAAACATTAACATAAAAACATGTACAACATTTGTAAAATTAGGTGTGTGACACAGGTGTGAATATTTTGTTTCATTATTATTTAAGAAGAATTGAATATTGTTTTAAGATAAAACAGGGTGAACATACATTGAATTAAGATGCAGTACGGAGTTGCAGCACAGGCTGACAGTGTCCTGTGAGTCAATTGGGTTCATCTTAGTTGTATCTGATACATGAAGGTGTTCACAAGCAGTCTCAGCCTTATTTTTGTTTAACTAAGGTGGGTAAAGGCCACCAATCACATGTATATGATTACTGCAATCAGTAGTCTTACGTAAATATGACCATTTGCATGTCGCAACACACCCTTCAGAAAGGGCCATCTTGATGAAGCTTACTGGAAATGGTGTCTGCTGTAAGCCTCCCCATGGGGAGAGGCTAAATCTTCCTCTTGTTTCAACTTTAATAGCTCAGTATTTGGAACCATGCCCAATACTGACTGACTGGCTTTGTTCACTTCTTCCCCAGCCATTGCCAAACCCTATATGGGCAGAGTACAACTCTAAATTAATGCAAAAAAAAGTAGCATCATCATTCACAAATTCTACTTATTTTTGTTGGTTAGCTCAACTGAAACTCAACTGTAGATGAGAATGAAGCAGAACTACATAAGAAGCCAATGACTAGGCTAATGCTTTTACAATTGGTATGTGTGGTTTGTCTTGGAATTCTGTTTTAGGTTTATGCCTAACATGTCCTCTGTTCTAGTAAAACAGTAACAGTTTTAGTTGTCCAAATAAAATTATTCCAGAAGAGCTGGAGTTGGTCCCATTTTAGGATTTTTGGAGACTTCATTAAGCATCTTATAGCTCTTGGTGTGAACTTGCTGGGACCATGAGACCACCAGACATGTTGGCAGTGGTCCTCCACTGATAGATTGTTTTAAATAAAGCTGATTTCAAATTCTTTTGAGGCCTCTTTTAATTCCTTACAAGACCCATAAACTGCAAAAATATTCATCCAGAAGACCAAACCCTCACTTCAGTCAAGAACACCAAACTCAATACCTGTTTCCATTACAAATATGCATAAATGTTTAGTTATATTCCATCAGTGTCAAAAACACCCACAATTTTGCAATTGCAGTGTTTCCATTAAATAAGAAATGAAATTAAAATAGCATGTGAATGAGCTTGTTCACGCAATAAGTCATAAAAATCAGTTTTTAATTACATTAAAAATCTTGGTAGCAATGAATGTAAACAGTTACTTGTTTTTTTTTTCCAGGATTTGTATATAAAATCCACATGTCACAAGTCACAAGCCCTGGTTGGGTGTGCAGTTTTTTTTTATTTGTATTTTTTAACATGACTATAAACTTACATCCTAACCTTGTTTTGGTGTAAATGCTGGAAAGTGTTTTCCACATACATGTGCATCATCTGAAAGGAGTGCGTTGAGCTACAGACTGAACAAGGAGACGCTCTGTTCTGCTTCTAATGACTTAACACACAGAGAAGACATTAAAATTCTTAACTTTATGTGACTCACTGAGGAGAAAACCTCTTTTCAAAGCATTTTCCAGACCAACAGTGAAAAAACACTCACCCAGACCTCAGTGACAATGAGCTGACCTGACAACACTTCCATCAGAATCCTCGGCTCAGAGGGAGAAAGTCTGTACTGCACACAAAAAATCCACAGCAGGACAAAGAGTGCTCCCACATTCCACACACATACACACACACACACACACACACACTGACCCAGAGTCACAAGAATGAAAGGCTTCCCAGTGTAATCAAAGTGATTTAGCATCTAGACTTTAAGGGATGTATTTGTGGCTCTTAGCAAAGAATGGAGAGAACTGTCCCTGAGGGAATGTAACAGAAATCTGAGGAAAACCACACAACATGGTGGATGTGGATTTGTTTCACACAGTTTATCATCTCTTTAGAATTTAATACATTATTGTGCTGAAATGTATAGTATTGAGAGAACAAGCTAGGCATGATCCCTGGGGAGTTACAGAGGGCTCTGATGACCCTGGACAATGAAGCAGATTGAGCTTCTGACCCTGACAGAGCATGGAAATTGTGTGCTCAGATACATGGAGTAGAAATGTCAAAGGTGATTTAGCATTATTCTGAGCAGATCCCTCGATCAGAGACATAAAGATGGCTGTAATGAAATGACATCATACTTATATAGCAATTCATTAGGACCCTCAAAGACATTTTACATAAAATCAGTGATTTCCAGTCATGCACACATTTACATGCTGATGAGAGATTGCTGTAGGCATGAAAGTCAAGCTTTGGATAACTGTGACAAAACCTGTGCTGGGATGCATCCTGTCAGTAGTGGACTTCTGCTTTGGTTTTTTCTTTTCTTATTTTCATCATTTGTCCCAGGCTATTTTAGTCTTTTAGTTTGATCATACTTTATTTCTGGGTTTGTTTTTCACTTATTTTATCTTCTCATTCTAGTTTATTCTGTTAGTTTAGTCCAGGAGTGGGCAACTCCAGGCCTCAAGGGCCAGTCTCCTGCAACTTTTAGATGTGTCTGTACTTCTAAACACCTGAGTCAAATAATGAGGTCGTTAGCAGGACTCTGGAGAACTTGACTGTTCTTGTGAGAACAGTCAAGTTCTCCAGAGGTGATTCAGCTGCTGGATTCAAGTGTGTTGGACCAGGGAGACATCTAAGAGTTGCAGGGAACCGGCCCTCGAGGACCAGGATTGTCCACCCCTGGTTTAGTCTCTCTTTTTAGGTCTTGGATTTATTTAGCTAGATTTTGTAATTATTTCTGTTATTTAGGTTCTCTCCCTTCTAGTTTACTCTTTGGTTTTGCCTTAATCACTTTTCCATTTACCTCATCAAGCCTCACTGCTCCCTTCTCAGCTGGAGTAAGTTCCCCTAATAAGTTTCTTTCTCATCACCACTCCCTCCTCTGTATATCTACTTCCTGGACTCATTAATAACCATTGGTTCCTTCTGTTTGCTCCCTTACTCTGTTGCACCTACAGCAGTTGGCCCCGGTTCATGTGCTGGGGTTTCAAGTTTTGTAGTGTTCTGGACTTATTTCATTAAACTATGGCTCATATGAACATTCTATTCTCCTGTCTGCACATTGATCCTACTCTAATTCCTGCAACCTACATGACACATCGACTTTATGAACAAGAACGCAGGTACCAGAGTTTAAAATCGGATGGTTTCTATGTTGAATGAAGTAGTGATTTTTGATATGACTCTTTGACCTGAGTATCGCTGCCTCGGGGAACAATGTGTGGTTCTAAAAATAGTTACATTTCAGTGAGTTCCCTTCAATGCTCTACACACTAGCCATTTTTCCATCTAAGTATTTTTATGTATGTTTTGGAGCATTGCATTAAAAAAGGTTGATGGTAATGGCAAAACTTAAATATCATCAATTTTGCCAATCCTTTTTTTCCCCCTGTCAGCAGTAGTTAACTAGACGCACTCCATCTGGTGTGGGAGTAGTGGAACATTCTTATTAAAGGCACAGACCCACCATTAAAGAAAGTTTTTGGAAAAATTACAGACCTCTTTCCATTTTACTGAGATGTGTGGTTCATGCTAGTTAGCAACCTCAAAACAAAGACATGGTACAACAGATAGAGTTTTGTAAACATTGTTAAAAGACTAGCACTTACGTAGGTTTGCCTGACCCTATATAGTTTTCATTTATTTTTACTCTCTTTTTCTATCATATATATATATATATATATATATATATATCCTGAGTTTAGTCCTTGCACACATTTCTGGATGAGAAAATCCAGAAATTTGTGCAAGGATGTGGATGTCTACCCATCTGTCCATATCCATCCATCCTTCCATACATCCATACATCCGTCCATGTTTTCCCATGTCTCTATCAGCCTTTTAAGTCTTTGGTCTTTGTAGGTTGCATATTTAAAGGTATACTAGAGTAAAAATATATAAAATATTTTCAGCATTAGCTCATATACTTCCCCGCCATACCCCATAACACTAAAAATTTGTTTGCTTCTATTGAAAAAAGTCACAGTGTAAAACCTAAAAATAGGGATGCTCAATTCAATTTTTATTTATACAGCACCAATTCATAAAGTATTTCATCCCAGGACATTTAAAAAAAAAAGTCAATTCAGTCCAGTCATACAGAAAGATTCAAAGTCAATTACACAAAATTTTTGTTATTCTTGTTGTGCATGCAAGCTAAATTTATTAATTAAATTGGTTAATATTTTCTGACAAAGGAAACCCATCTAGTCATTGCTTTCTCCTGGAAGAGCACATGGAGAGTGGATACGTTGTCTCATTGACTTTACAGCAATCCCTCTGTTGCGGAAAGTGCCTCCACTGTATGTGATGCTTAGCTTAGTGAGTTGTGCGGGTGCAAGAGATGTGTGG